CGGCGGCATATAAGGCCTCTCCCCCCCCTCGCGACCAAGATTGACACGTATACTAGGAGTGTTCCGACGTTTCCAGATGGAGGGCCCCTTGGGATTTCGCTACCGCCGCTGATGCCTCCACAGTCACTACTAGGCAGGAAGAGGCCTTGTCCGTTGAGTGCTCCTTCTGAGCCCAAACGTTTTGCGAATCAAACTCATCGAGGTGTTTACACCCAAACACCTCTTGCATCAATGTAGCTATACGTGGACGCCTCTATTCCAGATCCGAGCAAGTATGACTGAAAACGCGCGAAGAGTAATCATTGAGATTTTGAAGTACGAAACGCATCTATTTATAGCCCCCCCTCCCCACAAACCGCGCCTTTTTGTTCTCCATCCCCCAAACAAGATCGGCAAACGCTTGGAAGCCGCGGGCTTAACCAACGATGCCGAGACTCGCCGCCGCTACCGCGAGGTCTTGCTCGCCCACCCGCAGATCGGGGAGTGGCTGGCTGGAGCCATCCTGTTCGAGGAGACCCTTGGCCAGGCTAACTTGGACGGCGTCGCCTTCCCGCAGGTGTTTGGTGCTACACGCGGACAATCGAAGCGAATTGGCGCTCGGCAAGAACGAGTGCGACCAGCGCGCTCGGCCTCTCTTCAAAGCTGCTGTTGTAGGGATTTCTCTGCTTTGTTTTAGGGCCCCCGTTGGATCAGTCTCTGTTGGGTTTCGACCCCCATTGATTGGCGTTAGCGCCCAGGTGCATGTATGGTCACATTTGGTGAAGCTCTCGCATGCTCTTGAGTCTAGGTGCTCCCCATATGGTGGCTGATGGAGTATCACTCGCCATCAGAAGCTCGCCGAACTAACTTTTCAATTCTCATTTCACATGCCGAACATGGAACATCACGCGAAACTTCTGCACAACTTGCATCTTGTAGTAAGGTATGACGGGCAATGATATGCGGGATCACGCCATATGTTACGTATCACCCACGCAGGTGCTCAAGGACAAAGGGGTGCTGACAGGTGTCAAGACGGACAAGGGCCTAGCCCCGATCCCCGGGAGCCCTAGGGAGACCACCACGCGCGGCATGGACACGCTGCTGGCGAGATCCAAGGGCTACTACCAACAGGGCGCGCGGTTCGCCAAGTGGTAGGAGAGGGCTTTGTCTGGCGTTTCGAAGGAACACCGTGGGGTGTTAGCGGGGTTGCGTGTCGTTGTGCGCATGCAATCTGTTTCTCGCCCTGTCGCTCACGTTTCTGTATGAATTGGTTGTATCTTTATCGCGAAGAACAGCACCTGGGCGGAAAGCAGTAAGGTGCCGTGTCGAAGAGCGAGGTCCACTTCCCTCCGGCCATACGGGTTGCGCGAAGATAAATGAAAACACTCGTTGAAGACACATGCCGGCCCACCACCTTGGGCTGTGTCAACAATAATCCTACTTGCAACGTGTTTTATCGCGAAGCACAACCATTGAAGCATGCCCACCCTACCAGTGACCCCCTATACTTCGGCCCCGTCCGCACAACTGCTCAGGCGAGCCACGATCCGAATCGACGCCGAAGCGGGGCTACCCACGCGCGGTGCCATCCTCGCAAACGCAGTCGGCCTGGCTCGGTACGCCGCCCTTTCTCAGGCCGCTGGCCTGACCCCCATCGTCGAGCCGGAGATTTTGATAGAGGGGACCCATAGCCCAGAGCTATTCGCGGAGGTGCGTGTGGTACGTAAAGGGTAAGAAGTGAAAATATGAGAAATTAGTGTGAACGTCGAAATTTTTTGGCTAGCTTCGTTTTGGGGATCAATCAAGTGGAACGGCAGGATGGCAGAGAGAGAGAGACAAAGACAGAGACAGACAGACAGACAGAGACATACAATAAACAGACGTTGTGTCTACGAGTGACAGAAACAATGACAGAGACAGAGAGAAAAACACAGAGAGGGAGGGAAGTGAGAGAGTGAAAAAGGGAAGCGGAGAAAACACCCCTTCCGATTAGGCGCTTGCTTGAGTCGATGCGTAACGTCACAGCCAATTTTGTTGGGTTTGGTTCCGTTGGGTGACGACTATCCGTGCGTGGTAGCCCACTGCCGCCAAAATTGATCGAGCATGCAGCATGGTTTTGATCACGACAGCTGATTGTGCCTCTGTTGCTCCCCCCGCCTCTCTCCTCTTTCCGGCCGTTGGCGCTCGCGGACGACGTGCTGCAGGTCAGCGAACGGGTGCTGGGTGCCGTGTACGGGGCTTTGTCGGAGGCGGGCGTTTTCCTCGAAGGGACGCTTCTTAAGCCTCAGATGATCATGGCCGGGGTCGATGCTCCTGAGAAGAAGGTGTGGGCTTTGCTGCTGCTGCTGCTGCTCCTGCGATTCTTGCTTTCAAGCGCACCGACAGAAAGAGAGGTTGTGGCGGCAGTAAGGGCAGAGGGAACTTCGCGCTACATGTCCGGGCGAGCAGAATGGGCAAGGGTGCTGGCCTCCGAGTACATCATGTTTCCCTCGTGTCTGCCCACCCGATACCTGCCTTCCCACGTCGCACGGCTAAACTACGTGCGTGCCCCCCCCCCCGACCTGCACCGTTCGGGCTTAGTAGGAACGTGGAAAAACCTACCTCTACACGCGTACTACGTCTGGTTCTGACCATGAGTCTACCCTCCCCCCCCTGTATCATACCACCATCAGGCGAGCTCTGCCCTCACAGCCGAGCTCACGCTGCGCACTCTGAGGAGGCGTGTTCCCCCGGCCGTGCCAGGGGTATTCTTCCTCTCCGGCGGTCAGTCGGAGGAGGACGCGACCGTAAACCTCGACCTCATCAACCGCACGGCGGCGGCGGAGGACGCGGGGAAGAGATATCCGTGGACGATGAGCTTCAGCTTCGGCCGCAGCCTTCAAGCCAGCGTCCTCAAGGTGCGTGTGTATTCGTCGGAATGTCGCGGTCTTCGACGAGAGGGATGGAGGGGGCGTACTCTCATGTGTTGCATGCCTTACATAGTTGTTGGACCATTGGTCACGCGTCCTCGAGAGGACGGTGAAATGTTCCAACAGGACCGACCATCGACGACCAATCGTTTCTTCCTACTTTGCCAAAGGTGGCTATGAACGTTTTCCCTATCCTATCCATCCTATCGACATCCCTTCCTGCCCTTTTCAGCCCACTTCTTATCCCTCACGTCTTCTCCTAGCTATTCAAACTTCGCTCTGTCAGGTCCTTCTATTGTTCCCACCTCAGTCCATACATTTGTCTCTCCGTTTCGTAAAACGGACATTCTTCAACTACATGAACCCGGTCTTCGCACTCGGAGCCGCATTCACATTGGAAGTTGCGACGTCTTCTCCATTCCAAACGACCAGTATTCATCTACATTATCGAAGGCCAAGGTCCCTGGTCCTAAGTTTACCTTCAGCTTTGACCTTCAACTCCGTACCTGTATCCATTGGTGCATCTAGGTACTCCTTGAACGTTGCTTCTTCTTTGAGCGCTTCGTACACACCTAAAGTAGACTTTCCTTTCCCCTGGTTTCTTTCCATACTTTCGTTCCTCTCTCGTTAGAATCAACTGATCTCCACTTCTTGAACCTCGCTAGGCTTACCGTTTCCGACGTATCCAGTTCGCCAATTTCGAACCCCTTCCAATCTTTGTGTACAACCGTAGCCCAGTTTGTGGGTTGTATACCCCTTACCTTGTTTTCTTTCTCCGCGTCCTTAGCTATTTTCGGCAACCTCTCCTCTCCCATATTGTGCATACATACGGTACAGCCTTTTTAGCTTCCTTGTATCTCTTGCCGTTCGTAAGGATTGGATCCCCATCCCTGACCTGAAGACATGCAGCATTTACTTGTGCACTTGGAGCATCTTAGGATGATGCTCGCTGTTTTCATCCGTGCCGCCTCTAGCTCTTTTACTACCTCAGTATCTTGATATTTTTTTCCCATACTTGTGCGGCGCACCCTGGCGGCGAGGCGATTACGCTCTTCAAATTTGCCAATTGTATGTGTTTATCCAGGTGCCCATTTACGAGTATTGGGCGGTACTTCCCTGCTCGTGTTTTTCCCTTTTCTGCTACAATGTAACAGTCTTTTGCGATCTCCACTCCCAGACATGTGTACTGGTCCGCCACTGTAAGCTCCTCGATCTGCCACTTCCACCTACAATGTAGTTCTCACCAACCTCGATGCATACGAGTACGGCACACTGTTTGACGCTGGCAGAATACCTCCACTTACAGTCGACCCCGCTTTAAGGACGCACATGGTTTTGCCCGAAAAAAAGCGTCCTTATAGCGGGGTTTCGTCCTTAAAATTCAGGGGACGATAACTCACCATCCCCGGGGCCAATGGAGGCATGCTATACCACAAACTACGCGTCTTTTGCTAAGGAAGAGTGTGGTACGAAAAGTCAGCATCGCCGAGACGATTGGCAACCATTTGTTGACGTCGAACATGTTTGCATTACTTAAATGAGACGTACAGCAGTCGGGGGCGTGTTGAAAACATCTACAGTACACCAGCCTGTACTTGGCCAACTAATGTACTGCATAGCCAGCAGCGGAAGAAGGAGGACAGTCCAAGTAGACATATAATTATCTCATTCTTGTGAAACAAAAAAAGAACGAGCGTATTTCAGCGTCGCACCGAGGAACACTAAAGCTACCTTGATGGCTTTTCCCTCCACATATTGCGAAGAGTTCCCTGAACCCCCCCCCGCGGCTTGGCTCTACGGCTCTGTTGAGTTTCATGAGTAAACGAATGAACGGTCTTCGAAAGAAACGTACTGCATCTCACGGTACTCGCCCCCCCTTCCCTTTGCGTACAAATAGGATGGAACGTCCTCCAAGTGAGAGGCAACTTCGCCCTCGGTGAGGGACGAGGTTGTGCACGACTTTTTTTGGGGTGGCATCACATGGACTGCTGGTAGATGGGAGGAATCTATTCATACCAACACCCTGTTACAGCTGCAGCACCAGACCGCTCGCTACTTCTGCTGTCTGTGCGTCGCTACTTCTGCACTCACTGTGGTGCGCGTGCTTCGTGTAAAGAGCGGCCCGCAGGACACAGTAAAGGAGGGTACGCGGCAGAAAAAATGAGACCACCCCATTATCGTACATTCTGGCGGGCCCCCCTGGTGCTCAGCAAAAATGTTTCCGCAAGGCGGGGAGTTTCCCTAACGCGAGCGTCCTTAAAGCGGGGTCGACTGTACCAGCAAAATCCTTCGCTGCGTCAATCTGCAGTTGAATTTACTCAGAGAGTATCAGACGTCCCGAACAAGATCGTCCGCCAACCGCATTCCCGATACCGAAGTCTTCCCTACCGATGCTCCCTTCCCAACTGCCTCTACGATTCCCAACACATCGTTGATGAATAACTGAACGATTTTGGGGACAAAGTACGTCGTTGTGGCATCCCCTGCTCAACAGGGACGGGGGAGGTGGTAACTCGTTGGCCTGCACGGCCGTCAAGTGCAATTTGTTGGTAGAGACTCGCGGACTCATGGAAGGTCGGGACGGATCACACCAGGATGTCCCCAACCAGCAAGGGTATCTACAGCAATAGTCGTGCTGCTTGCACTAGTTTGGTGGTCAAGAGCACATCAAGGTTGGGAGGGGACGCAGTTGAAGGAGAATCATGCTCATGAAACCCTGACTGCCGTAGTATCCACCGAGCTACCCCCGGGAGGGCATCTCTGGTTTTCTCGGCATACGAACCCCCCCCCGGGGTAACTCGGAGGCGACGGGGAGGGGGTGGGTGGGGGGGTGTACTCATAGTCGTGCATGCCGTAGTCGTTAGACCATTGACCTCGCATCCCTACAAAGCCGGGACGAAGCACACCGGGTTTTCACCGGACCGGGCTCTCACATCACCAAGCGCGAAGCGCCGTGAGATATTCGGCGAGTCGCATGAAGGGTGCGCTGCATCCTGCTAAGGGTGTTCGGCATCTTGTGCTTGCTTCCTTGCGTACGGATGACAGCTGCGTATGACTAAGTTGATTTTCTGGTGCTTTCACTTCCTGAGACAGTTGAAAGCAGTGTGTAACTGCCTCGAGGGTGGTTGACCATTTCAACACGTGGTGCGATCATCCCCCTTGCGCGGAGTGGGGCTTCTCGACCCCGCACAACATGATCTACTCGACCACCATTATGGTTAACGCCCAAAAAAAACAGAAAAAAAAACCCGGTAACCTGGGTCCGAGTTCACGAAGTGACTTGACTTGTTTTACAACGCCGTTACCAAGCGACGAACATCCAATCCCGATGGCAAACACCGGGGGCGGGCGGCTTGTTTTACAACGTCTTGCCA